AGTCCTATGATGGAATGACTGCTACTAAACCAGGTTCATTTTGCAAAAGAGCTATAACTTGGACTATAGTCTCAGTGAAGCTGTCCTGTATGGATCTACTAACTCTATTTCTAGCTTCAAACCTAAAGTCCTGTGGGACTATCACCCTTTTATGCTTTAAAATCAAGAGATGCAAGATCACAGTAGAATGAGACCTGCGGGAAAGCCCCTCACAGGAGCAGCCGCCCATCAGGGTGGATTAAGAGCATTATTTCAGAGTATAAAGAACAACTTTAAAAATTGCCGATTTGAAGACATCAAAGATTTACCATATGTTTTCATATTTTAACATACTGGGTTCTCCTGGCCAAATTTATTATATTATAACACTTATCTGAATGACAATATGCCTCCCTGATGATGTATGACATGTTTACCTCTTTCAGTTAGATTCCTGGACGTAATCATCCAGATTGACACCTACATTCCATGTCTGTGATTAGTGCCCACACACACACAAGAGCAAAATGGACGACGTGGGCTAATGTTCATAAGCCTGTGAGCATGGCACAAATGATTCTCCTTTATTCTCTGAGAGTCTTCCCATTTCTTTTCAGGAACCTGTCGAGGCAGCATAACAAAGACAAGGCGATGTCGCCTTGGCTTCCTCCACAAGGAACACTTGGCACTTTCTCTTGCAAACAGGTGAAGTAGCACTTCGCCTGGTTTTCATTTTAATGTACTGTTTACATATGTTATGCTAACTGGAATTAAAACATATGAGTGATTTGTAAAGTGCACTATATTAGGTCTAGGTGTAATCGATGGCATTGACTATTTGGACTTTTTGGTTTTTATTTCTTTCTGATAAGAGTTTTCTCCTTAAGTAAGAAAAGTCAGGTTATAATTTTCACAGATTCTTAAATACTTTGAAGGGTGCAGTGACTGTTGGTGCTACATCATGGTGTCATCAGGAAAAATGCACATTTACTTATGTGAAGTTTGAAAAACACTGTGAGATTTTATGTGACTGGGCGTCTTCTGGCATATTTATATAATGAACTATTATCCAGTCCAATCAGAGGATGCACCATTGTGATTATTCAACTTGTTTTCTCAAGTAGGTGTTTGGTATATGCATTACACAGTGTATTCATCTTTCATAATTACAACAGAATTCAGTACAGCAGAGTTTTACATGGCAGCAAAAGATAATATGACTACATGAGTTTTCTACTTCAGATGCCAAGATTATTGGTAGTATGATTAAAATTATTTTGAGAACCTTGAATATCCAAAGGATTCTTGAGCAAAAACAGTAAAGTTGGAGACATTGTACTACCTGACATCAAAATATACCTCAAAGCTATAGTGATCAAAACAGTGTTGTAAGGGCATAATGCATACACCAAGGGAACAGGAATGAACGCTGAGAAATAACTATGCATCTGCAGGCAGCTAATTCCAAACAAAGCTGCTAAAAGTACACATTGGAAAAAGGACATTCTTTTTTTTACATAGTGCTGGGAAGGTTGGATGTCCACATGCAGAAAACTAAAACTAGGCCTTACTCTTGCTTTTCACCAGTTACAAAAATGATTTCAAAATGGATTAAAAACTTAATTGTAAGACATGAGACAAAGAAATTAATAAAACGGGGGAAATGCTTCAGGATGTTAGAATAGGCAAGGATTTTTTGGATAAGACCCAAAAGGTAGAGGAAACAAAAATGAAAATAGACAAATTGGATTACCTCAAGCTAAGAAGCTTCTGCACAGCAAAGGGTCAAATCATCAGAGGAATGGCACAGCCCATGGAATGGGAGGAAATCTTTTCAAGCTATACGTCTGACAAGGCAGTAATGTCCAGAATATATAAGAAACTGAACTCAATGACGAATAGCCTGGTTAAAAAATGAGTAAAAGAAGCCAGTTAGACATTTCCCAAATGAAGACATACAAATAGCTAATAGACACGTGAAAAAAAGTACCAAATATCAGGAAAATTCAAATCAGAACTGCAATTAGATATTGTCTCGCTTCGGTAAGGATGGCTATTATTAAAAAGACAAAGATGACAAGTGCTGGCAAAGGTGTGAAGAAAAGGGGACCCTTGCAGGCTGTTGCTGAGAATATAAATCCACACAGCCATTGTGGATAACAATATGAGAGGTTCCTCAAAAGGTGATTAAAAATGGAACTATCATGTGACTTAGCAGTCCTACTCCTGGGACTGCTAGTATCCAAATCAAATGAAACCAATATTTGAAGAGACGTGTTCTGCCATGTTTATTGTAGCCTTATTCACAGTAGTCAAGAAATGGAATCAACCTGAGTGTCCATCACTTGATACGTGGATTAAGAAAATGTGGTGCATATATATAATGGAATATACTTTATCCAAACGAATGGGATCCTGCCATTTGTGACAACAAGGATGGGACTGGAGATCCTTACAAAGATGGACAAATACTGGATGAACTCACTCATTTAAGGAATATAAAAAATTGATTTCATAGAAATTGACAGTAGAATGGTGGTTACCAGAGGCAGGAGAATAGAGGGAAGGACAGGTAGAGGAAAGTTGATCATTAAGTACAAAGTTGCAATTAAGAGTATGAAGCACTAGTGTGGTACTGTACAGTAGGGTGGCTGTGGATAACAGTTAGGTGCTGTATATCTGAAAAACTAGATGAAAGGATAGCAAATGCTTTCACCATAAAGAAATGGTAGATATTTTTGAGGAGGTATTTTAACCTGACTTGAAAGTATACATATATCAAAACACCATATGACACCCAACAAATAGGTATAATTTTTGTTATGTATCAGTTAAATGTAAACAACAAAAAAATCAGTTTGATGACACTTTTTTTCTCATACAGTGTTTCAAAACAATTAAAAACTCATTTTTTACTGATTGCAAAGGTAGTAATTGTTCATTAGAAAAGCTTTTAATATGTCCATAAGCATGAAAAAAGTAATGTAATACCCCCACTCAGAGATAGTCACTTTCAATATTTGGTCATTTTTCTCATGAAAATATGAAAAAAGTGAACCATACCTCTATAACCCGCCCCTTCATACAAAAACATACCATAAACATTTTTCGTATTTTTAAGAAACAATTTTTAAAATAGCCTCATTATAACAATATACCCAAATTTACTTAGAAGTTTTACCGTTTTTATTTTGAATAGTACTCCAGAAGTTCTTTTAAAGATAACAGGGATGGGGCCGGGGATTTAGCTCTGTGGTACTGCTGCCTGCCTCGCAAATGCAAGGCCCTGAGTTCGATCCCCGATACTAAATAAATAACAGGGATGACACTAATACATAGCTTACAGGTTGCCATCGCAGTTTTCAGAAATAAATCCTACAAGTGGAAGGAAGATTTGGACCAAGAAGATTGCAGAACTTGCAGGCTCGGGTGCACAATACCAAACCATCTCCCCCAAGTGGAAGAGTTTGTGCAAAATATACTACACAGTGTAAGTCTTTGTGAGTCTTTTCCGTCTGGGTAGTGGAACAGGCAAGACTGCTGGCTCTTTCCTTGGCTGTGGGGAGTTTGCTCACTTGCATGTGCCAAGCATTGTTAGGAAGGACAATACAGGAAGGGGCCACCTCCTTGCAGCTCTGTCTCCTTCAGTACTCTGGGAATCTCCACCAGGGTGTGTCCTCCCTCCCTTCTTCCTGGATTCGTATAGGAGTTATCTCAGTTGTTTCCTGTCTCTCAGGAATCAGTTTTTCATGAATCATGGCCGATGTTTTGAAAATATCGTTTTGTGTATTTTTTTATTTTAGTTGCTATAGGCAGAAGGGCAAACCTGGTTTATATTGTTCTTTCTTGACTAGCAGAAGTCATGCGTTTAAATTTTGCCTGATTTTCTTGTTTAAAAATATTTAAAATTTTAAGTGGAAAAATTCATCAGTCTTTAATGGTTTCCATGGTTGATGTCTTGTTCATAAACAGTTCTGTATTTGAAAGCTTGGAAAAATGTTTACCTATATTTTTCAAAGATTTTACTTGTAGTATTTTTATATTGAAATGCAGCCAGCCCCTTGTATCCAGCAAATTTTACATTCTTAGACTCAAGCAACTATGGATAAAATTTTTTTTTTAAATCTGCAACTGTACTGAATGTATACAGTTTTCTTCTTGTTATTATTCCCTAAACAATGCAGTATAACAGCTATTTACATAGAATTTACACTATATTAGGTATTACAAGTACTCTAGAGATGATTTAAAGTATACAAGAGGATATAAACTTTGTGTGCATATACGACACAGTTTTCTGTAAGGGACTTGTGCATTTCTGAATTTTAGCTCAGTAGGAGAGCCCTAGAGCCCATCCACAGTGGACACAGGGACGGTTGTATTTTAGTTATGGGGAACCCACATTATAGCCAACTAGGAAATAGTTAAAATGGGAGAAAAACAACTTTAATTGCATTGTCAAACACAGTGTACACATGCATTTTAACATATTTCTCCTTTGTTTTTTATCTAGTTGTGGTGCCATAGTGCATCGTTCAGCATACTCATCCAGTGTGTTATATCATCAGCATACCATTTGTTGTTCATACTCCCATTCTAATGGCTGAATTGTATTTCATCAAATGAATATATGACAGTTATAGTATTTTGCCTATATTATTAAGAATTTTAGTTATTCCTTTTTAAACAGGATATAAGAACCATAATTATCAGGCAGGGTATATTCAGGGGATGTTAACTTTGGTCACAACTCTACGGGAGCAGAGATGCAGCTAGGGCCCTGACTCACTGTGCCACTGCGTCCCTCTCCAGGACCTCTGGTACATTCAATAAAGCTCTGACTGCATAGAAATGAGAAGCAAAAACACTAGTTCTAACCAGCCCAGCCGATTTCTTGTTACTCCTGTACTATAGTTATAAATAGAAAGACTTTTAAAAATAGCTTACAATTTATATTTTAGTATGTATTTAATGTATTTCAATTATTTCCTGATTATTATTTGTGCTTGGTTATTTTTCAGGAAAGTTACTGTTCAAGTTGGTGTTCCCAAACACATCATGATGCATAATTCTTTATCAGTACCACCAAAAGATCAAGGTAAGATTAAGCCATGCTGAGGAAGATGGTAATGTGTATGTTGTAATAAATAATTTTAACTGATCCATTTAATGTCACTAACCTCCAATCATTAGGTAACTTCCTAGAATTAAAAACAAAACTGATAATTATATATGAAAGTTCATTTCATTTGGTGAGTTAATTAGGTATATATGAATTGGGAAGTTACAAAGACATGTCCCCATTACTAGACTGATAACTTCTTCAGAGCAAGGTGTCTCACTCCGTGCAGAACTCTCAGAGCCCAGTTAGCTCGCAGCTGGCCAGCATTAACAGATATCAGAGGAATTATGGAGTGTTGGCTTTACTGAAGCAGAATGACACGGGCGTTTTAGTGAATAAAATACACATAAGTACATATGTTCATATACATAAGACATACGTGGAAGAGGATATTGATTTACACGTTTCTAAAGCCTCTTCTTCCCATGCCCATTTAAAAAGAAACAGATAAGAAAAATCATTTCCCCTCATATAGTTTATAAAAAATAATGATATTTTTTGATACTGGAAATTAAACCAGGCTTTTTGCACTGAGCTACATCTCTAGCTTGTTTTTATTTTTGTTTGAGACACAACCTCACTAAGTTGCTAAGTTGCCTAGGCTGGGCTTGAACATGCAGTCTTCCTGCATCAGCCTCCCAGAGTGCTTGGATTACAAATGTGCACCATGATGGCCTATTTATGATTTTAACAGAAGCTTCTGAAGCTTTCAGAAAAACAGTTTGCATGTGGAAGTAGAGTCATTTCTTTTTTTTTTTTTTGGTACCGAGGATCAAACGCGGGTCCTTTCACTTGCGAGGCAGGCAGCGGAACCACTGAGCTAAATCTCTGGCTCCAGAAGAGTCATTTCTTAATAAAATATAATTAAACTGTTCTCACTCTAAAGGACACACTCTAAACTGTAGGAGAAAAAAATAAACCTTTCCCCAGCCCCTATCTAATCTCTTCCATAAGAAAAGAAGTTTAGACGTGAGTATGAGAAAAAACATTATCTTTAACAATGCAAAATTGGACTCTTAGTACAGGATGTAGCAGTTAATGAAAGAAAAGGATTTGCTATAATAATCCTTAAATGAACCAAATACTCTGATCTCTCTACCAATGAAAATGTGGTAAAACTCTTAAAAACATGGAGGCTGGGTTTGTAATTCAGTTCTGCCACTTACTTGTGTAACCTTAGGTACATCACTTGACAGTAGTTTCCTCATCTATAAACATATAAAATGAAGAAATCTCACCCTATAGGACATATGGCAACTAAAGATCATTTATGTAAAACATCCAGTATAGTAATATTGATTCTGGAGTAGGCACTTGAAGATGAAAGTAATTATCACTCTTAATACTGTTATTAATCTCAGGCTTTCTCCCTATTTGGAGGCTGACCAATAAGGTGAGTGCTGAGCATAAGGCTGCCTCCTGCTTGGCATGCTACATGGCCTTACAGGGCCAAGCATGATCCAAGGGGACCAGTAGCAAGTTGCCAAGGAACAGACTCCTGGAGTTGGATCTCTTACAGGTACTGGGCAAAAGGAAGAGTCACTGTCCTTCAAACTCCATTCCCCATCCACCAGCAAGAGGAAGGGCACGCCTTGGCTTGGACAGTAGCCACAGTCTGAAATGCAAGGACAGAGAGGGCTCTGGGAGGGCACCTCTAAAGCCCATAAGTCCTAAAGCCAGGAGAAAAACATCGTGTCTGGCTGGATCCCAAGACTGCAGATATTGGAGAGAAACCACTCATTTAAAAATGCAGGAACTTTCTTCTTTACTCATTCTTTTTTTGATTTTCTATTTCTTATTATTTTTATCTTTCCTTTATGGGTTTTTGTCAGGATTGGGTTTTTTTCTCCTTTTTTCTCTTTTCTTGCTCTTTTTCCCTTTCAACTTTTTTGTCTTCCTTCTTTATTTCCTATATTTTTTCTATCTTTTTTCTTATTTATTTCCTGTGACTGTTTTCTAAAATTATTAATTTCCTTTTACTCCTCAAATAGGAATCCCTGTTTTTCTTTTTTCTCCTCCTCATATCCCTTTGATAAATATTTCAATTTTTGCTTTTTTCATTCTCCAATTCTCCACCCCTTCTATTTTTTTAGTATAACTACTAAGCATTATTAAGCTTAGTTAACTAGTTAACATTACACTATTGCCATCGAGTACTATTCTATTGTTATTAGAGGTAAAGTTGTTCCATTTAGTAGATATTTACTGTAGGTCAATACTTGGTTTGTCTTGGAGTTCATGCTATAATTATAGATCTCTTTTCTGTGGTGAAGGGTGGTACATTATTGATCTTTAGGGTTTGTCAATATTGTTTGTATTTCACACTGTAATTGATGCTAATTTTATTTCTATAGCCAAGGTGACATAGCTGTTGCTTTTAATTGGTTTTCTCTATATGCCAGTACATCTGGATAGTCTTAGGGTCATTAATACTGTGGCCCATTCCTGGAGAACTGGGTACTGGGCCAAATATGCTGCAACCTCCCATTCCAAGGAAACAGAGGTGGTTGGATCCTGGGTAAGGCCAATAGTTAGCCGGACCCAGAAGAAACCACTGAAAAGCAGACATTAACTGAAGAGATCTCCATACTAAATACAAAGCTTTTCACTACAATCAGCTTGAAGTCTCAACACAAAAACACAAACAAGCTCTCTGTCTTCCTATTCCAAATTATGTGGATGCACCATAGCCTATGGGGCTGCAGGGCTGAGGAAGGCAGCCAGTGCTGCCACCACTGCTGTTGCTGGGGTCATAACCCCTGTGCCTGTCCACAGTCACCACACTCAGGCTACCCGTGCCTCTCTGGGGAGGCCAATGTCTGGTCATGTCCACCCCGAGCAGGCACTCCATCAAAATCCAGAAGATTCTGGCCTCAGAGATTTTGAACCCAGCTTCATAAGGCTATTGGACAGAATAACTAATGGTTCTCAAATTGAAATAAAACAGAATATATGTGCACCCATGTTCATAGCAGCACAGTTTGTAATAGCTAGAACTTGGAAACAGCCCAATTGCCCATCAACTGGAGACTGGATAAAGAAGATGTGGCTATTTTATAAAATGGAGTACTACTCAGCCATAAAGAATGAGAAACTAGAGACATTTATAGCTAAATGGATGCATATTGAGGCCACACTCTTAAGTGAAATAAATAGGACACACGTGTGTAAATACTGAATAGTTTCTCTGGTGTGTGAAAGTGTAAATGAGGACCAAAAGGTATAATAGACAATGCGAAATAGGAAGAAAAGGTCTAAAAGGGAAAGGGAAGTGGGAGGGGTAGGGGAAAGGAAAGGAAAAATATGAGAAAATGAAAAAATGGAAACAAAGTCTTTGTAAATCGGGAGGGATGGAGGGCTTGAAGGGAGGGCAGGGGAATGGGGAAAAATAAGAACCAAGATACATCATGTACAGGTACAAATTCCCAATGATAAATGTCATCGTATTGTATACCTAAAATGTACCAGTACACTCAATAAAAGAGATAAACAGAATAGGAATGATGGTATTGTCAGCCTGGCCTCTGAATGATTACATGACTGATGATGTGGCACATGAAGTGTCCTTCGCAGCATTAGCTATTACCTGAAGCATCTCCTTTGCCTGGCTCCATTTATGAAACACCTATTAAAATCGTTCTTGAAGGAGTGACCACTGACCAAGTTAACCCTTTGGTTGATGTACTTAAGGCAATAGCACTCCCTCTATTGAAACAGTTTGCGATTGATGGTGAGTTGCTCTAGATAAAGATCATGCAATGAGGAATGCCTCCTAGAAGAGGAGGTAGAGTGGTTTTCTCATGTCCTGTCAGGAAGGTCCTAAAGCCCATTCACCTTAAGGATCCAGGAAAAATCAGATGTATCAGAGGAAAGGTGTATTTTGTATGCGTGTCACCTTAGATGGCAAACTGGGTTGTAGATTCTGTAAGGAACATCCTCAACAAGTTCATACCCAATATCTGTATTTTCACAGACCACATGAAAGGAGTCAACTCTGCAAAGTCTTCAGGCTTTGGGTTGTCACTGGTTTCTGAGACCACCAGTGGCACCTTCCTCAGTGCTGAACTGGCCTCCAGTGCCCAGGGCCATGGAGCAGCTGTGCTTCCAGAGGAGCTTGGCAGGAACTGTGCCAGGCTGCTGCTTGAAGAGATCCATAGGGATGGATGTGTAGACTTAGCCAACCAGAGACCAAAGTCTGGCTCTGTTGCTCTTGACCCTTGGACAGCAGGATGTTTCCAGATTCCTGCTAGGGCCACTCTCTTCTTATATGATCGAGTTTTTATAGCATTTGAAGCACTTTTTCCAGACTGTGTTTAAAATAGAAACCAAGTCATTGGTGAAGAACCCGAGGCTAAGGGTAAAATGCTAATGACCAGTTGGCTTCTCCAACCTTAGCAAGACCCTCAAGTGATACTGTCACAAGATAACTTTCCATTGCCTGCAGACAAAAGAGAAGCTGCCAAATGGACCAAGTACAGATGTATTCATCCAAGACAGGATAACCTGTATTTTAAGGACTTTCTTAATTTTTCATTAAAAATATCGGTATACAAATAAAAACCATCCCTTCATCATGTGGTTTCCAGCCATTCTTCCAGTAGCATTGACATTCCTTAGGGGACCAGTCACTGTGGCGCTTCCCTGTTTGACCTGGAAGAAGAGTACCTTGAGGTTATGTTCATGCTGATGGAACAATACCACAGTGGCAGTTCTATGCTTCGTCAGTCCACGTCCCTCAGATTCTGTTCTGTAACCATCTTCCAGACCTGTGGAATCTGTTACTGTTCTTTGTGCAAAGACTTAACCTCAGCTTCTATTGTAGAGATTAAATGTAGCTGGGGGCCGGGGGGGGCACAAACAAACAAAATAGAAACATGACAAGGCAAGCCAACAAAATGCCTCCAAAACCCCCAGCTCCCCCAAAGCTGATCCATGAGACATCAAAGAGGAGGAAAACAAAAGCCATACACCTGAATTACTTGAAATGATTTCAGGGGAGATAAACAGATCAGTAAGGCATTTGGCAAGATCACAGAAGACACAAGTAAATAACACTGGACCAAGTAAACAAAACTCAGCAAGTCTATGGAAGACTAATTAATAAAAAGCTAGCAGAGCTGAACAAAGTGATGCAAAATATTAACGACTATCGTAGAAAATATCTAGAGTCCATAAAAAGACTCCAAATAGAATTCAGGAGATTAAAAATCTTGTCAGAAATATGGGCAGTAGAAGTGACAGTTGTGAGGAAAGAATGTCAGAACTAGAAAGAGAGTTGTCATCAGTGACAAATTAATGAGAAATACCTTAACAAACAAAAAGAACATAAAAAATGGATCCAACAGCTCCAAGATGACATGACGATTAATCTAAGATTAATTAGAATTAGTGAAAAATCAGAAGACAGCACAAATGGCACTAATAAAACCTTTTTAACTACAGCAATAGCAGAAAACTTTCCAAATTAGGGAAAAGGATTTAACATACAGATAAGTCAGGCATATAGAGGCCCAACTAGCCATGACCAGAAAAGAATCTCTCCACGACACATCATAGTCAAAATTCTGGAAGTCTGGCACAAGAACCAAATCTTAAATGTGGTTAGCAAAAAGCAACAAAACACTCATAAAGCCAGGCCTCGTGTGCACACCTGTAATCCCAGCACTTGAGAGACTGAGGCAGGAGAATCACTGTGAGTTCAAGGCCAACCTGGGCTATACATAGTAAGTTCAAGACCATCCTGAACTAAAAAGCGAGACCCTGTCTCAAAAAACAAAAACAAACAAAAAACACTCATAAAGGTAAACTCATTGGAATTATAGTAGACTTCTCAACACAAACCTTAAAGGAAAGAAAAGCTTGGAGTGAAGTGTTTCAAGAAAATTATTTCCAACCTAGGTTAATATATACTGTGAAACTATCTTTCAAAGTTGATGGAGAAATAAGATACTTTCATGATAAAGAGCACCTAATGAAATTCATGACCACCAAACCAGCACTCCAAAAATTTCTCAAAGATAATCCTAGAAAGACACAATGACGCTAACAATGAGAAAAGGCTCTAATAGAATGAATACACTGGGTAGGGTGAGCAGTTAAGTGGAAGGGAAAGACTGGGAATCCAAAACAGTAAAATAAGGCAATAACAAGAATAAGTCATTACCTTAAAAAAAAAAAAAAAGAATAAGTCATTACCTATCAGTAATAACTCCCAATGTGAATGGTCTCAATACCCCAATCAAAAGACACAGAATGGCAGAATGGATCAAGATCCAGTGGTATGCTATTTATACGAAATACATTTATCCCAAAAAGAAACACATAGATTAAAAATCAAAGGATGGAAAACAAAATAGCAGGTATAGCTATCCTATATTCAAACAAAGTGGACTTAAAGCCAAAATTGATCAAAAGAGGTACAGAAGGTGACTACATACTGTGTTTCCCAGAAAATGAGACCTAGCTGGAAAATTCTTGGCTTACCTCCCTTACAGAGTAGCCACCAAGCAAGAAAGTAGTGATGGCAGGTAAGGCAAGGAAGGATAGCCTGATTGGGGCTGGCAGTTTTGATCCCTACTTTGGAGGCTGATTATTTTCTAGCTAGGTCTCATTTTTGAGGAAAGAGTTTATTGGTTAAGGGAATAATCTAACAGGAAGTGATAACAATTATTAGCATATATGCACCAAACAGTGGCTCACCCAGCTTTATAAAACAAGTACTACTAAACACAAAAGACCAGATAAATACCCAGTTATAGTGGGGGACCTCAATAGCCCAGTAACACAAATAGACAGATCAGCTTGACAAAAAATCAACAAAGAATATCAGAGTTGAACAAAACCTTTGAACAAATGGATGTAATGATATCTACAGATTGTTCCATTCAACAGCAACAACAGACTACACATTCTTCTCAGCAGCACATGGAACTTTCTCCAAAATAGACCACATACTAGGCAATAAAGCAAGGTTAAGTCAGTCTCAAGGAATTGAAATTATACCATGCAACTAGAAATCAACTATAGAAGAAAACACAGAAATCATCCAAATACTTGGAAACGAAACAGTACACTTCTAAATAAACAGTGGGTCACAGAAGAAATCAAGAAAGATATAAGACAGATTCTGCAAATAAGTGATAATGCCAGTACAACATACCAAAACTTATGGAGAGAATGAAACCAGTCCTAAGAGGGAAGTTTATAACTGTGAATATCCACATCACAAAAACAGAGTGAGCCCAAATATATAACCTGATAATGCACCTCAGGGTCCTAGAAAAGCAACAATTCAAACCCAAAGCTAGTACAAAGAAGGAAATTATAAAGATCAGCATGAGAGATAAATTTGAAAATATATTCTTTTAGGATCATGATACATACTGCTATTCTCTAGTAATTTTTTGTTATGAAAAATTATTTTTCATGCAATGAAATATTTTCAGTGAATATATTTTCTTTATTAATATCTACTTGTATTACATTAAAATAAAGATCAGTAAAATTGAGATTTAAAAAATACAATGAATTAAAGAGTTGGTTCTTCAAAAGAATAAACAAAATAGACAAACCTTTAGCCAGTCTACCCCAACAAAGGAGAGAAAAGACCCACATCAATGTAATTAGAAATGAAAAAGGTAATATCTTAGTGGACACTACAAAAATCAAAAAAAATATGAACAACTACTTTGCAAGCCTGTATGCCAATACATTGGAGAATTCAGAAGAAATGTATAGATTCCTAACTACATGTGAGTTACGAAAACTAAACCAAGAAGATCTAAAAACCCTGATTAATCCAGTAACAGGCAATGAAACTGAAGCAATAATAATAATTTTTTAAAAACCTACCAACTAAGAAAAGCTCAGTTCCATATAGGGAAAATGTAACACCAATACTCAAGTGCTTTAATGAAATTGAAAGAGAAGGAGCACTCCCAAAGTCATTCTTGTAAGCTACCATTATCCTGATTCCAAAGCCAGATAAGGATCCAACCACAAAAGAGAAGTATAGACTAATCTCTTTAAAGACTCCAGATGCAGAAATCCTCAACAAGATACTGGCAAACAGAATGCAGCAAATCATCAAAAAGGTCATCATCCCAGAGATTCAAGGATGGTTCAACATATGCCAATCAGTAAATGTAATATATCACATTAACAGATGCAAGGATAAAAATCACATGATCATCTGAATACATGGAGAAAAAGCCATTGACAAGATCCAGCATCCATTCATGATAAAACCCCAAATAAAATAGGTATAGAAAGACCTTATCTCAGTCAGATAAAAGCCATTTATAACAAAGCTACTGCATCATCATATTAAAAGGGGAAGAACAGCTTTCCCTCTAAAATCAGGAACAAGACTAGGGTGTCCACTATCACCACTGCTGTTTGACAAAGTACTTAAAACTTTAGCAACAGCAATTAGGCAAGAAAAAGAAATAAAAGGGATATGTACAGGAAAGAAAAAAGACAAATTATCATTATTTGCAGAGGACATGATCCTCTACATAGAAGACCCAAAAAACCATTAAAAGACTTTTAGAATTAATTCCAAACTCAGTAATGTAGCAGGATACAAAATCAACAAACAAAAATCAACAGTGTTCCCTATACACAAATAATGAGCTCACTGAAAAAGAAATTAGGGGAAAAAATACTATTCACAATACCACCAAGAAAAATTAAATACTTAGGAATTAAGCTAAGGAAATGAAAGATCTCTATAATGAAAACAATAGTACTCTGAAAAAGGAAATCAAATTGGACATCAAAAAATGAAAAGATATCCAAAGATACCCCCTGTTCCTGGATAGGCAGAACCAATACAGTCAAAATGGCCATACTTCCAAAATTCAGGTACACATGTAATGCAATCCCAATCCATATACCAAGAGCACTCTTCACAGAACGTGAGAAAACAATTCTAAAATTCATAGGGAATCAAAAGAGCCCCAGAATAGCAAAAGCAATTCTGGGTAACAAGAACAAAGAGATATCACAATCCCGGACTTGAAGTTATATTACAAAGCTACAGTGAAATAGTACTGAGAATCAACAAATGGGATGTATCAAGTTCAAAATCTTCTGCATAGCAAAAGAAACCACCTGCACAGTGAAAAGACAACCTACAGAATGGGGAAATAGTTTTGCCAACTATTCCTCTGACAGAGGACTAATATCTCGAATATATAAAGAACTCAAAAAAGCTAGACCACTCCTCATGAAAGATCCAATGGGCAAGTGAAATGAATAGATACTTCACAGAATGATAAACAGCCAATAAATACATGAAGAAATGCTCAACATTGCTGGTCATTAGATAAATGCAAATTAAAACAACACTGAGATCACTTCTTGCTCCAGAAAGGATATCCATCATGAAGGAAAATAAAATCAAATAATAAGATATGCTGGAGAAAAAGGAACCCTTCTAACACAATTGGTAGGAATGTAAACTAGTAGAAATCAGTATAGAGTTTCCTCAAAAAACTAAAAGTAGGAATTCCATTTGACCCAACCATTCTCCTTGTAGGTATCTTCCCGAAAGAGTTAAAGACATCATATTACAGTGGTACATGTATACACCTATTTATAGCACCACAATTCATAATAGCTTAATCTTTGAGCAGCCTACATGTCCATCAACAGATTAATGCATAAAGAAAATACGGTATTTAATACACAGCAGAGTACCACTCTGCTGTAAAAAAGGATACTTGAGTGAATTGAAGGAAAATGGATGCACCTTGAGACCATAATATTAAGTGAAATAAATCAGAAACAAGCTTAAATATGGCATGGTTTCTCTTATATGAGAAGCCCAAAGTATTAAAAAAGCAAAATAAAATACAATAGTAAATAGGGAGATAGATCTTGTACAAGTGAGAAGAGGATGAAGGGATGAAGAGAGGGAGAAAGGAGGAGAGGGAAAAGGAATAAAAACAGAAGTTAAGATGTGTCACGTACACGTATCAACTCTACAGAAGGAATGTAAACATTGTGTACTGCAAAGATGTACTAATTTAATAAATGAGCTTTATACAGTCTTTATGTTAAAAGCCCAAGGAGATTAGTTACTTTTGCCAAGATCACCAGCTGGTAAGTCACTCATCCAAAGCTCATTCTGGGCCCCCAGTATCAGACTAACATTTTACAAAGGAGATTTCTGATAATTTTTTTATCATCTCCCTTCCTTTTCTCTGGTCAGTGCTTAATTACGTATACAGGTGCTTTTAAGTTTTTTTTACATCAAAAAAGGCAGAAATTATAACATTATGAGAAGTTACTTCAGCAAAGAGTAATACATATGTAAAAATAAGTACTAAGAATTTCCCAGTTATTTGTTCATTTACTCTTGCATTCATTCAAATGCTTTCTATGTGTATTTGCTAATGATAATATTTTTAGTAAAGAAAAATATCAAATTTCTTGATTCTGTTTATATTTTTGTCATTAAATATAATTATGTGACAGAAGCTTGCTTATGAAATCACTTATTAAATACTGATTGATTTAGCAAACCGTTGATGGCTATTGGTGAATGTGGTTTTTTAAAATTTCTGACTTCTACACAGGCATTTAAGTATGAATGCAAGTATGACATTCCAGTGGAGTTGTGGGGCTTCAGGGGAGTCAGCTCCATTGGCATATTAGCCCTACAAGAGTTCGCTTACTGGAAGCAGGTTTAAAGATTGTCAGGGCCAGTCTTGCCAGGAGCTCTGTGTCATGCTGTGAGGGGTTCAGATCATATGGGGCCTGGGCTTTTAGGCAGCACACAATTCTACTGGGACAGCAGACATGTGTATTATTGACTAGATTAAGGGATGATGAATGCTATATTGGTAGTGAGTATGACATATTTTAGAAACCTGGTTAAAGGGACAGTTAGTTGGGTAAGCCAGAGATTTTGAGGGTTGACATTTGCTGAGGACATTAATATGCATATAGAAGTCAACTAGGTGGAATTTGGGTCCAGAAGTGTGGGTTTCAGGCTAGGAAGAAGTAGCCACATTATAAACAAAAAATTAATGAGAAATTCTAGTTCCTTCTATTTAAATGTTTCCTAAATGTTAAATGTTTCTGATAAAGAGGCTTTATCATTGTAGCATCACTCTAATTTTAAATTCATACCATATTTGTAAATTTCAGTTTTAATTTGGAGTTATCATTGTTCTTTTCTATGTGAGAATATTATTTATAGGCTCTCTAGAAGTTCTTGAGACTTACTTTGTTACCACTTTCTCTTTTTTGAATTCAGATTTGGGGAATTGGGTTTATGGTTTTCTCATAATTTTCTTTGGGTTTTTTTTTCTTTGATATTTTCAAATGATGAACTAATAGAAATGTAAGGATGGGTATTTTGTGTTGGAAGTGAGTAAATTATATTAAGTAATAAGTAGTATTTTTTTTAATTGCATGAAAACAACATGAAATGGCCAACTGTGGTTGTAAACTTCTACTTTGATTGGTTGAAGGAAGACAGAAGTACCAGTATTACAAATATAAATGGGTTCGTTTACTGATAACAAAATTCACACAGGTGAGCAATGTCACCAAATGGTTCTGTGACAGGGACAACTTATGTTTGTGTGTATTAGGCAGGAGATCACTATGGCTGTATGCTAATTGAGGATTGAAATTTGCCCTTTGGAAAGAGCAGGGTAAATATCACGTCCCTACACCATTTCATAAAACAAGTCCGACTGTTCATTGGTCAGGAAAGATGCTTCGTTTAAGTCTAGTTCAGCATCTATTTTATGGGAGTCATTTCAAATTCTTA